GAGACTGTGTTGAACACATCCTGAGCACATGCTATTAGTGCATCTGTCTGTGTTATTGTATTACTGAGATCTTCATGTCCACCATGTGCTGCTGTAGTGTCACTTACAGGATTATCCTCACCTCATATAATAACACACTTCATAACTGATGTGACTTCAGGTTTTATGAATTCTTCATTCCCCTTGCTAGTAAACAGCTTGTAGATCTCAGTTGGAACGGATTAAACTCTCTCTTGTATTATTATCCAGTAAGCTTTCCAAATGGCAAGTATGAAGGTGTGTTACTCTAAGCTCTGAGATGTTCTCTGGAAAACTGGCAAATGGAAGTTTGTTTGAATCAAGGATGTGGTTTCTGCTCAGTTTTTTGTTTTTAGGACATGTGCAGAGCTCAGCTGACCTACTTCATAAACGTTTACCTGGAAGACGTTCAAAGAATCTTGTCTTTTATGAGCTAGTTTAAACCGTGTCTACTTGTAGTCTAATGTTTCACTGGCTTTCTCCTCAGGTTTATTTTAGGTTTATTTAGGGCATGTTAAAGCAACACAAGCTATGTTTTCTTTCCTCCTTTGGTGAAATATTTAAGGTGACTCATGACCGTTACAGATTTCAACAAACTCTTGTAGTGTTGGGTGTAAATCAGCAGTTCTGCTGTTCAAACACAGTTTTGACTAAGTTTTTTTTCTCAGGTGTGTTAAAGGGATAGTTCACCCTCTGTAAAACACTAAAGATTTTTTACCTGAAACCATGGTCCTTGAAAAATTAAAATGCAAGCAGCTACCATCAATTTGAGAGTCAATAAAAGCATATCAGGCATGACAAAATTAATACCCGTGGCTCCTGACGATATATTGAGGTCTTGTGAAGTGAAACGATCAGTCTGTGCAAGAAACTGAACATTATTTACAACATTATTACATGTAATCCAGAGCCTCAGGAAAATGGGCAAGTCCGATTCTTTTCCGTGAACTGGTTCGTTCGGACACTTCACGTTTCAATAAACTGGTTCAAATAACTGATTCACCAGTTCGTTTACATAATGATGTAACATATGCAATTATATCATTAAAGCACCCAATAATAATGATGTCAAATGTACGGTTTACGCATGTTCATCAGCAGCTCTTCGGTCTTTGGTCCGAGTCGAACTGTTTCCTCAGATCAGTAACTGTTGGAGGAACTGGAGCGCTAAATGATTCATTCATCATAGAATCAGATACCCCGCTAATTTGGCTAATTTCCAGTCGGAGTGACTGTCAGGTGTCTGAAAGTGAGTTTTGATTGAGTAACTTATAGACCTGTGCTGCTCGAGCTGCAAACTGTTTCAGACGCTTCAGTCCGATTTGGTTCACTAGTTCACTAAAAAGAATCGGTTCAAATGAATGATTCGTTTGTAAACTGGACATCACTCCGGACCGTTTGCCTGGGGATGAGGCTCTGGATTACAGGTAATAATGTTGCAAATAATGTTCAATTTCTCACACAGACTGATTGTTTAGCTTCATAACACCTCAATATATCCACAGGTATGATTTTTTTGTTGTCTGATATGCTTTTTTTTGACTCAAAGCGCCGGTTTCCATTGGCTTACACTTTATGAATGGTTTCAGCTAAGAATCCACTTCTACTGTTCTACTGAAGAAAAAAGTCACATCTTGGATGGCCTGACGCACAGTAAATTAACAGCACATTTTAATTTTCGGGTGATAGTTACATTAAGGGAACATTAAGAGATAAATGTGACAGAATGAAATACCATGACTTGAAAAATGTACTACTGTATTAATATGAAAGGACTGCAGATAGGTATTTCTCCACCTTGCTTTCATTTCCGATCAGCATCGACCTCAGAACAAGACCTCGCATTTAAACACAAACACATGTGAAACTTTGCGAACCCTCACAGAAAATGAACATGATTCTTTTTTAGAGTCAGAATTAGGACATTACAGATGACGTACAGTACATAGTAAAAGCAGTCAGGTTCAAAATGTAAATCAAAATGTTTAATTTAGAGTACAATTATGAAACAGAAGAGAAAAACAGTATATTTTTGGCATATGTTGAGCAGAGAGTCTCTGTAGGTCGTTCACAGATGGTTCTTGTTAGTGGTGAAGGCAGTGGGCTCTCAGGACCCTTTACATTTCACAGTTAAATAGCTTTCTTACACATAGAAAGTCTGTGATAGTGTCAAAAACCCTTTAAGTGAGAGATTGTATCTTATTTATTCCTAAGAGGCAGACAGACACTGAAAGGTCAGATCAGTGGTGCCTGTATGTCTGTTCCAGATATGGATACGCCCTAATATTTCATTAGCTTTCCATTATTAAATCCAAAAGGTTCTTCCATTAAAAGAAGTCATAAAAAAAAGAAAAGAAAAACAAACAGGCTTGAGCAATTCGTCAGATTTAAAGTCCCCATGAAATCAAAATTAAAGTTTTTTTGGGTGTTAGTATCAATATGTTAGTCTTAAGGTTATCTATAAGGCAGTGTGCTCCAAAACAGTGACAAAATTCGCATTTAGAAGATATAAGCATTCAAAGCTTGCAGTTCGTCACTAACGCCAAAACGGCTCAACTATTTTTTTGACATCATATCGTACTTCAGCTTCTCATCAAACTTTCTGTCCAATCAAATGCTCTCTAGAATCCGAAGCCCCGCCCCCTACACTATAAAATAGATGCTGAAGCCGCGGCTGAAATCAGTCACTTGTCCACAGAATTAGTATTTTCTGTACAGTGAATGGCACGTAGTGCACTATATAGGGGACAGGGAACGATTCAAACAGTGTAAATATGCTTTCCATTGAGTCTGGTTTGGCGCTGTGTCACGCTAACCACCGCACACACACTCTGCTCCGGTCCAGAGACACGATAGCACGGAGCGGATCACATGCGTGAGTCGGCGCAGACCACAAAATGTATCGGAGCTATTTGAATTCTACACAGAATGCTATATTTTATAGCAATATGGATGAGATTGTGGCTGGCATACCCTGTCAAATGCGGCTTTACGGAGCTCAACGGCTCTAGCCCAAGCTGTGATATAACGAACGCTATTGGCTATTTTAAAAAGGGGCCGGGCTGCTTGATATGTCCCGCCCTGTCTTCCTGTTTCAGTTAAAATGACGTCAAACACATAGAGTAACGCTGTGTGTTTCTAAGTATTTCAGGGACCATTAAAGGAATTTTCCTGGTTCAGCACAAGTTGAGCTTCTGTGGCCTGCTTTCCTTTATCACAGAAATGATTCAGTCTTGTGAAAACAAACAAACATAAATCACATTAACAGTAATGTTCTTACACTGCGGAGAAATGATTTACTTAGCATTTTTGTCTTGTTTTCCAGTACAGATATTTAAAAATTGATCAAATCAAGATACATTTACTTGAGAAGCAAAATGACTGAAAATTAAGCAAGTTTATCCTTAAAACAAGAAAAAATATCTGCCACTGGGGTCAGAAAAAAAAACTCTAGTTTCCCCTTTTTGAATTAAGTTTATTTTTCTGATCCCATTGACAGATACTTTTTCTTGTTTTAAGCTTGAACTCCCTTAATTTTCATACATTTCTCAGAAAATAAGACTTAATATCTTATGTCGTTTTGCTTAGGTTGTAAGAATGTTTAGAAATGATTTATAGTGGTAAACAAGACACATATACTGAGTAAGAAAATAATTTTATCAGTGTGTAATGAAAGTCGTGCACTGGAACAAATGTTAAAGTACTGTTTCAAAAGCCACAACATTTACATTATATTTAACATTTTTACATGTTAACGAGTCTAGTGTGATAAAATCACTTATTAGCTTATCTATTCAAAGTTATATGAACTTTTTGGTTACAATAATGTATAAAGCATTTAAACGCCATAATTTGATCAGAAAACCAGCAAAGTTAACATGAAGGGATGAGATGTAACTATTCACAAAGTACTGTTAAATGGAAAAACACTTGGTGTTGGTAATGCATAAATAAATTCATCCATCTAGAAAAGTAGTCTCATCACTAAACGGATGGTTTACACAACTTTACAGCACAAATAATAGAGAATAATTAATATAAGCTAAAACACATCAAGCGCAGGCCACAGAAGTTGTTTGTAGAGATGAATCTCTGTAGAACCCAGAACATTCCTGGGAAGATTTCCATGTTTTTTTTGTTGTTGTTAAAATATATTTCCGTCATGACAACTCTCAGAGGGATTGGCATGGTAATGTACATGACAATGTTAATGTATTTGGTCTTGGCGGAATAGATCTGCTACACTGCTGCTGCTGCGGCGGCAGAGCAAGTACCGAGACTTGCTACTGCCAATACATCCAGAACATGCTGCTGTGAGCATGTAAGAAATACTGCTGCTGCAAATATAACATACATGAAATAACCTCCATATAGCATACATGAATCACCTCGTAGCAGATCTATACAGGTGGAGCTGGGGAAGGTGGAGGGTTTCTGAAGCAAGCTGCAACTGCTACAGCAAGCACTTGTCTCATATTTGAATGTTGAGCAGCGAGCTCATTGGCTACTGATACAGGAGAGAACCAATCAGCTGTGCCATGTGATAATGATGTCATTAGGTCAGATGGAGTTAGACCTATCGGACTGCGCCATCTAGAGTTTCATGCCAGAACTCTGTATTTGTGCAAAATGTCCTCATATAAATAATTAGTAAATTAACAGATGCAACTTGTGGCAAATTTAAATGGATAATTTTTGTTGGTGTTTACCTTTAGATAATCTTTTGCAAACGTTGTTTCTTGAGACTGGTTAGCTACTGTATTTATGTGCCTTTTAGTTACAGTTTGCAGGTTTCGGATGACAATAATTAACTGTGTTTTTTTTTTTTTGTCACAGATAAAATGTCAACATAGTAAAGAATATAAATATACAATATGTACAGTTCACTTAAGGTTGCATGTATAAAACATCAGAAAAATGGTGACAAATAAAATCAGTATTGTGTTATTATAAATAAAGCTTTCTGCAAAAAATATGTAATGCTACACCGGCTTGTCCTCAAAGAGTATCTGAGCGTACACCGTTCCTGTCTTTGCAGTTTTGGCTTCAGGCAGTGGCTTCATCAGTTCAAGCTCAGCGTATGTCAGACTCTCCTCTGCAATTTTGGGCTGTTGGTTCGGGACAACAGTAGAGTTACAGCTCACATAAAACTATTAAATACAACAACAGGCAGTTCTGCAGGACAACTAACAAATTACTGTGTATTTCTTTCAAGTAACTTACCAAAACCACTTTTCTGGGTTGAGGTTTTAAAAGCTTCGGCTTTCGCATTTTGTCTGCAATAGGGGCTGAGATGGAATATGTTATTATTAAACTAAGATTTATATACTTCATAAATAATGTATAGTGACATATAGAGGTCATTTTGGGAATGTTACTCTACCTTTAGCCGGTATCTCTGGTGGCAGGTCTGGCTGCTCCACACTTTTATTTTTCTTGTACTTTCTCACCTTCTTGGGTAGAGCTGGAGAGAGACTGATGACACTAGTGACCGTCTCGCCTGAACTGGACACATGAATATGCTTTCAGTTTGTGAAGAAGCTTATCCTTCTCATCTACAGTTATAATTTTTCATGTTTTCTCACCTGTTCTGTGGACTCTTGACCAAATGATAGTTTTCTATCAAAAAGGAGCATATGAAAAAATGTTGATGAGCAGACTTTATAATTAAGATCATTAGAAGCATCATTAACATGCACATTCAAGGAATAGTTCATCCAAAAATGAAAACACACAAGATGTAGACGAGTTTGTTTCTTCATGGGAACAGATTTGGAGAAATGTAGCATTGCATCACTTGCTCAGCAGTGGACACTCTGCAGTGAATGGGTGCCGTCACAATGAGAGTCCAAACAGCTGATAAAAACATCACAATAATCCACAAGTAATCCACACCACTCCAGTGCATCAATGCACGTCTTGCGAAGCCAAAAGCTTCATGTTTGTAAGAAGCAAACCAGCATTAAGACGTTTTTAACTAAAATACAAGTCCATAATCCTTAATAACGCTTCCTCCAGTGAAAAGGTCCATCTCCTGTTGTCTTCTCATATCAAAATCTACTCACATATTTGTTTAGAGCTGTTGCTTGATCTGTGCAGATTTCTCTCCTGATTTTTTTGTTAAAACATTTTAATGATGGATTTGTTTCTTACAAATACGCAACTTTTCACTTCTCAAGACAGTAACTAATGTAAAACACAGCCTAATTTTCATTTTTGGATGAACTAACCCTTTAATTAAACTGATCTCATTCAGCAATTATTGATTAACAAATAATGAGCTGTCCTAAATTTGCTGCTACTTTCTGATAAGTTAATCATGATTACATATTAGCTAATAGCGGTAGCTGAAGTGTTAATGTAGTGCTACTCATTAGTCCTGTGTTATTTATCTGTTAATGTCAGACCGTACAGTGTTACCAATAATTTAATAAATGTCTGCTATATATATATTTTTTTCCCCACACAAAGCTATTGTAATAACTTCAGAAGATTTCTAATATAGTGCACAAGTCATATGGACCACTTATGGTGCTTTAATGTCATTTTGAAGATTGAAAGTCCTGATACCCATTCACTTTCATTGTATAGAAAAGAATGATAAAGAGCCAGAAAAGAGCCAGGATGTTCTACAAATTAATGTAGTCATTGCCACATAAGAAAGTAAGTAATATGGTTTTGGAACCTAAAAATATTTTAATCTTTGCGTGAACTAAACCTTTAAGAAAACCTGCAATTCCTTCCATTTCTATTAGACTATTCACTGCATCTGAAATGTGTTTGGTAACACGTTTTTGTTGGTCCAAGACAATATGGTTGAACAGTTTTGTGGCTTACCTTCAAACAGACTCCACAGTTCCTCCTTTGGTTTGCTGGCTGGGAGAACATGGACTGTGAGAGGAAGAAGAGAGAATTGCACACTCATCACTGTGGCTCCAGATCCTCTTAATTACATGGCACATGCAGTTAAATCAAGTAAATTGCAGGGGCAGTAGTGTGTGGGATGACAGCAGTGAGGCTTTCCTTCTCTCTGGATATGGCCCTGGCTAACACCCACTGTGATGCCCTGAAATACCCATAACCACAGCAGCTTACGACAGTAAGGCTAGCTGGCCCAACAGACACAGCCACCTTGGCTACTGAGGAAGTTTAACTGCCTATTTGGGTGTGCAACAGACCACTAAAGAGCAAATTTAACTCACTTGAATTAAATGAGTTGAATTGATCCGGTTTGTTCAGTCAGAACAGAAGTGTAAGTGTAAGTTAAGCAATAAAACAGGAAAAAAAAGCTTTATTTATTACCTAACTGAGAGTGTTAACATAAGCAAACGAGAGATAAAAATGCATTTGCTGAAACCAGCTACCTTATCTTGCTGCTACAAGTCTTTGAGCTCTTTTATTGTGACTCGTGTTTCACTGGACTCGTACCAGAGTGCTTCACATCACAAGTGCAATGTTGTACCGGGTGCGCTACTGAGTAAGTTTGCTATGTAAGAAAAGCCAAATATGTGGAGCTGGTTATGTGATGGAAATATCAAAATGTATTTGTGTGGTGTTTTACTGTCACAAGTGTTCATTTCAGCTGGAAACTTCAGTGAATTGTATGTATAAGGTACGCTTTTGGAGTTTTGCAAAAATTTAGGTAGAGGAGCATTTTCCAGTTGCATTAGTAATATCATTAAGCTTGGCAATATTCTGTATACAATGAGTATGAATTAATTTTCATTAATTTTTTGGACCTTTTAGCATTTTATTAAAGGGGTCATATGATGTTGCTAAAAATAACATTATTTTGTGTATTTGGTGTAATGAAATGTGTTTATGCGGTTTAAGGTTCAAAAAACACATTATTTTCCACATATTGTTTCTCCTCTATGCCCCGGCTTTCTGAAATGCGTAGATTTTTACGAAGCTCATCGGTCTGAAAAGCGAGGTGTGCTCTGATTGGCCAACTATCCAGTGTGTTGTGATTGGCCGAATACCTCAAGCTAAAATGTGCTGCACACATCTGGATATTTGGGTTGAACTGTTCTGGAACAGTGTTGTAAATACAACTTAACCACTGATTTCTAGTAGTGTCCTCTTTTGGACCAAACAAAGTAGTTTCGCTTTCACACCGAAACACACAGCGGGCTAGAGTGAGCGGAGGCAGGCGGCCTTGAGAATGGTGCGGCCGCCTGATTCGACGAAGGAGCGGCCGGTGGGCTTGCGGCAACCACATGTGACGACCCCGGGCTGGACTCCGCTTCGTCCACGGTGAAAGCCGATCCGGCGATCCACAGCGCGATTTCCTCAGCAACCAGCACGGATCAGCTCCAGGCATGACGAAGCAGATATCGTCCTCTTTTGGAAG